AAAGAGATAAACCACATTTCCACACCATTCAAAAGAAACAATAAAAAAAGCTAAGAAGGAAACAAAAAGACCAGAACACATCCTCTCCAGCAGCCTATACCCAGATAAACAGGAATTAACACCAGACAAACAAACAAGTAGAAAACAATAATCAAGGAACTACCAAGGAGAAAACCCCCACCAATCCTGGCAGGGCAAGCTACTGCATATAAACAGGGAGCAAACCCCACCCTCACTAGCACTGATGATGTTACCTAGTCAGGTAATAAAATGTCTGCAAGCAAACATCCAAGCTCAGAGAGCACCAGGGACTCCACAGTTCAACCCTGAGCTGCAAATGTTCTCTTCTATTGGAATCACACCCTAGTGCCTGCCCCTGACCCCCTGGGATGACTTCCCTCTTGGCAGATATATTTCTTCATTTGCAAGCAAGGCTCTCCTGACTGCAAAGCCAAGTCTCACCTCTAAATGATCTTTTCTCTCCTTCCCAGTGCTGCAGCATCTCTGAGCCAAACCCCAAAGGCATCTTCATGATGTGTATTCCTCCGCCCAATGTTACTGGATCGCTCCATCTTGGCCATGCCCTCACCAACTCCATCCAGGATGCCCTGACTCGATGGTGAGATCTGTCTGCCTTTCTGGGTGCATCTCACCCTCTGTTTTTACATTGGGCCTTCTCAGTCTTCTGCTGGATTTTTGGGCAGGTCCTCAGAGTCCAAATGTATCTTTTTCAAGCACAATTCTTGAGTTCTCTTTAGTGAAATTAAGAGGGATGAATAGGAAGGGGGTTACAAGAATTACGGCAGCTGTACTGTTTTCTATTTAGAACCAATATATTCCCTTGTACATTATGGTGAAGACTTTCTGATTCTCACAAGCTACCTATGATCCGGTGAGGAAGTGGGTCTTTTCCCTGAAAACAGAGACGTTTGCAGCAAGCTATTTACATAATGCTCTCCATAATGCTCTTTATCAATCTGGGAACCCACTTCTAAATCCTCTTACTCTCTCTGGCACTGTTGGGCCATGCGTGCAGTCTGATTCCATGGGGTTAGTGATCAGGATACAACGTCCAAAAAGTTTGGAGACCCCTGGTCTAGAGAGCTTCCTGCTCCCACTCATGTCTTGCAGGCACAGAATGAGGGGGGAGACCACCTTGTGGAACCCTGGCTGCGACCATGCGGGCATTGCCACCCAGGTGGTGGTGGAGAAAAAGCTTTGGAAGGAGCAAGGGAAAACACGACACGACCTTGGCCGCGAGCTGTTCATCGAGGAAGTCTGGAAATGGAAAAATGAGTGAGTCTTTTTGCTGTCTCTCTTTTTCCCAGCACCTTACAGGTGAACTGGGATATGGAGAAACACTTGCTCCCATGCCAACTTGATAATCATTTATTTATTACCAATATTTGTATCCTATCTAATCCTGCAATGCTACATGGCTTGTATACTGCATTATACTTGTATAATGCAGTATACAGAGCTCAACATCTGTAGAAACAATCCAACATTAAAGTAGAGTCTACTGCTGTCCCAATTAATCTTCCTGCTCTAATGTCTGGCGGAGAAGACTGTCTTCACCAGTTTCCTGGTCTCAGGACCAAACAGTGGAGACCCACCTGATTTCAGAGGCATGCTCTTCCAGAGTGAGAGTGCTGCTATCCAGACTGTCATTCTCTGGATCTTGGCCCTCAGGATCTCATGGGTCAGCAACCAATACATCATCTCCCTGCTAGGCCATGTAGAATAGATGTATTCTACCTGAAGAAGACACTCGCAAAGGTAACAAAGATCTTCAAGGGGTGGTCCTCTAGGACCCACCCATGCCTACAATCAAAGTGAGAGGCAGCTGGAGAAAAAAACTTCTTGTGTGTCCCCCCCTCCCACTCTGACTTTTTATAATGCACTCTGGCATACATTTATTTATTTTCTCTAAATTTTGTAGACCATTGTGGAAGTTATATTATCAGTCTCATACCATTCCAGTGATACACCATAGTCAGTATGTTTCCTTCTTTCTTCTCTGCAGAAAAGGGGATCGGATCTACCACCAGCTAAAGAAACTGGGTTCCTCCATGGACTGGGACCGAGCTTGTTTCACTATGGACCCTGTAAGATTTTGATCAGAGGGAAAGGGATGTGTGGGGTAACTGTTATAACTCCCACTAACATTATTGCTTCTGTCGTATGCACTTACTTTGGGGTAATTCTCACTGAACTCCATGAATAGGATTGGACTACTAGGGAATGTCTTAGGGAGATTTTGAATGTCTTAGGGAGATTTTTCTTTGGCCAGGAAAGAAAGGAAAGGGCGGGGAGAGAAGAAGGAGGAGGAGGAGAAGGAGAAGAAGATCTGCCAATGAATAAGAACAAGGGACAGGGCTGAAAAATTTTCATCTGCTTTTTGCTCAATTTTGGGTTCATTTTAAGGGCAACAGTAGGCGTGCTTTGCCACATGGAGGACCTGCTCGGCCATTCCCACCCTTACACACACCCCAAACAAATAAAAATTCCATTGCTGGAAATTGGCCTTTCCTACCAATTTTCAGCAATGCCATGTTTGAGCTTTGGAAGTCATGTCTGGAACTTATATACAGCCCATGCATTGTGCATTGTTCAGGGAATGAGGAAGAATAATTGCCGTCCAAGGGTGGAAGGGAAGCTCAGGTATGACAGCAATTTTTCAGTACAGTGCAAAAGCCACAGTTCTTGCAATCTAGACAACAAGAAACCAATGGGATTTTTATTTCATCTGATGGATTGTATTCTTGTATCACCAACAGAAACTCTCCTATGCTGTCCAAGAAGCTTTTATCCAATTGCACGAGAAAGGGATCATCTATCGAAGCAAGCGCCTCGTCAACTGGTCATGCACCCTCAACTCAGCCATTTCTGACATAGAGGTGATTAATGGAATAACTTACTTCGTGTATCAGTATTTGGCTAAGTGATCCAGATCTCATGAAGCTTCCTGTCCCCTTCTTCCCAGGTAGATAAGAAGGAATTAACAGGCCGGACACTCTTGCCCGTCCCGGGCTACAAAGAGAAGGTTGAATTTGGGGTGCTGGTCACCTTTGCTTACAAGATCAAGGACTCAGGTTTAGTATGCAGTTCTTGGTTCAACAGGAGTTAGAATTTGGAGTCTGACTCTTGGTTGGCTCCATTCATCCATGAACCTCCTCCGTTTTCCTTGATAGATGAGGAAGTGGTGGTGGCAACCACCCGTATTGAGACGATGCTGGGAGACACAGCAGTTGCAGTCCATCCCAAGGATCCACGATATCAGGTAGGGAAAGTATAACACTGTCGTTTGGGTTGGGACAGGCAGCCTGGTGACTTCTCAGATGCTTTGAACGACAGTTGCCCAAACGCCTGATCACCCACTGAGCCAGCAGGGGTTAGACAAGGCTGTGCTAGGTTCTCTGGGTGAATGGCTGCCATACTGCAGAAGGGGTCAAGGTAAAAAGCTTTGGAAAGGAGGGGGGGTTGAAAATAAAATTTTAATATTACTACTTTTAGTTAATTTACTAATTTAAGTGTTACATTTCGCTAGACAGACCCAAAGACCTATGCACTGATGCCCACCTTCTCAGGTGTTTGTTAAGTCCCAGGTTTAGCAATTGAAAATAAACAGATGTATGTGAACAAAAAAAGAAAAGAAAACTATCCTGTTCTATACACCCACACTCCTACCTGACATTTACATGCCAATCATGAGTCACATACAGAGAGAGAGAGATGGTAGTGTGGGAGTGGTGGACAACAAAATCTGCAAAGTGGATGCAAGAGCTTCAGACCTTGTACCTATGGAGTTATGGAGAACCAAGGGCATGCTCTACAATAGAACCTGATTTTTCCATGGTTGGCTGCTTCCTCTCTGTCCTTCCCAGATGCATCATTCAGTATGCCCAGATTGATTAAAGCTGTGCTGGTTAAGAATTCAGGAAGTTGCAGTCCCACTGCACCTGGAGAACAGCAAGCTAGGGAAGGCTTCCTGTTGCTATATTCATTGCCCCAAGGATGAACAATGCCAGAATCAAATGAACCTGTTTTACCCAGCGGAGCAGAGGGCCATCTTGAATTGTAGTGTAAAAGTAGAATTCAGATACAGGATAGCTGGAGACCAAAAGCTCTGAGTAGAGATTGGGTGTTGTAACAACAGAAGGAGCATCAGAAAAGGAAGATCCTTTAAGGACTGAGCAAAGGGTATAGGATGCAATAAACTGGAAGTTGCAGTAGATGATCTTATCAGACTGTTGTTTATCTAGATGATTTTGAATTCTTCATTAAGTCTCTTCCTTTGATGTGCTTTCTCTTCTAGCACTTGCATGGCCGGGAAGTCCAACATCCCTTCACGGGACGGCTGCTGCCCATTGTCTGTGATGATTTTGTAGATATGGAGTTTGGAACTGGTACGTTCTGGGCTGGTGTCAGGCAAATGCAGTGAGTCCTATTTGAAAGGATAGAATTGGTGGTGAAGAGCTTCAGTGGAGAGTCTATGGAGAGGGTGGAAAATGATGTGTGACCTAAAGCAGTCAAAGTACAGAAGTGGGTGAGAAAACCCTGAATAAAGGAAGTGTAAGTCAGGATTAATGAGAGAAGAGTCAGAAGGAATGAAAATGGGCAATCATAACTCAGCATTCCCCAACCTGACTCCCTTGGATGTGTTGGACAGTTGTTGGAAAGATGTGGATTTCAACACATCTGAAGGGATCAGGTTGGAGAAGGTACCCAGTAAAGCCTTCCATGAAAAAAGAGAAAGACATCCAGCAAAGCTTTAGATCTTCAGTTGTTCTTTGAATCAAAAAGTTAGGTGTGGAGTAACTTTAAAGACCACAGATTCTAGAAGGAAATATCAGGCCAGAACATGAATTGGAATGATCGTGTCACCTTCTTGCTACTTTCAGGCGCTGTAAAGATCACACCAGCTCATGATCAGAATGACTATGAGGTTGGCCTGCGTCACGGGCTCGACTTCATCACAATTATGAATGAGAACGGCTATCTTATCAACGTTCCTCCACCCTTCTTGGTATCACTGGGATGCATTGGGAGGGAAGGTGGAGTTCAAAGGATCCCTTTAGTCTTCTCTCTGTCTTCATTGATTGGGATGGGCTTAGTCTTAATTGAAACAGAAGATCTAGTATATAAGGGATGTCTTTAATTGGTGCTAAGGGATTGGACATAGGTGACCTTTCTGTGTCTTCCAACTTAACAGCTGCATCATTTTCATCTGCTTCTTCTCTCCTTCCAGGGCATGAAGCGTTTTGAAGCCCGTCAAGCAGTGCTGGAAGCTTTGAAGGAAATGGGGCTCTTCAAAGAGGTGAAGGACAACCCCATGGTGGTACCAGTGTGCAGGTGAGTAGTAAGTGCCAAGTAAAGCAGCCCTCTCAAAGTTGTTCCAACCATAATTCCCAAGGATTCTCAGCCAGCATGGCTGAAAGCAAGATAAGACCCTCTCCTGTTCTCAGTTGGTGGTTCAGTCTTCGTGTGCAAAATGATGCCTTTTTAGATTACCACTTTAGGAATCTTAGGAGTAAAGCCTTGTACTTTCTGGGTTGTAGAAATAGCTGAGGGGTTCAGTCCCTCACGCGACCGCAAGTTGTATGTAAATATTACCTGGATGCTTGTTTCCTTTTGGGGGCAAAGTGCTTGAGTTGAGTGGGGTTGGTAACTTCAGATGCTCCTAGAAACAGCAGATTATCCAGACTCATTCCAGTCAAGTTTCAGGCAAGTTTGGAACTGAAAGGGTCTTGATCATCAAATGACAGGTAAGCAGCTTTGGGCCAAGAGTGAGTGACGGACAGAAGGAGACCCTTCTGATGATTGAAGTTCACTTAATGGCTTTGAATATCTTTGGTCATAATATCTTTCAGAACCAGCTCTGTAATGTGGGAGTTAGGGAATCCCATTCTGCTGTCCTGTTCCAACCTCCAGAATTAATTCTGGCAAGCAGCATGGTTAGACTATGGTTTAACCCCATGTCACTTATAATCATGGGGTGCCACAGGACTCTTACATTGCCCCATCTTCATGTTATTTAAGCTGCTGTGTGAAGCCATGTGGAATTGGGTCCAATTAAAACACATTGAATCTTCTGATTTAGCCAAGAGAACCATCTGCCTGCAAGGCCTCCAGTTAATCTATTCCACGGTCAAGGTTAATTCTCTTGATTCCATTATCATATTGCCTTCCCATCTGGAGGGAAGGAACTAAACAGGGTGTGTGTAATTGGAAAGTGGAAGACTGAGAAAATAGGAGGTGAAAAGTCTTGTTTTCCTTACGCAGATTGGATGGGTAAAAGGGCTTTCCATGTGGAGAAGGATCCTGTTGAGCAAGAGGAAGCACCATGTTGAATTGGAAAAGTGTCCACCACTCTGTAAAGGGTGTACAGGTAGTCCTCATTTAGCGACCACAATTGAGACCAGCAACTTGATTGTTAAGCAAAGCAGTCGCTAAGTGAAACCACCACCACGCTTATGGTCTTACTTCAGCTTTCCTTTGCTTTACAGACCTGCAAAGGTCATAAATGTGAGGATTGATTGCAAAGTTATTTTTTTCATTACTGTTGTAACTGCAAATGGTCGCTAAATGAGGACTACCTGTAATTCTATTCTAACCCTGTTATTTTTCCAGGGTCTCAGCTAACTTTCTTTTTGGCTTTCTTTCCTGATGTTCTAAGCCGCTCCAAAGATGTAGTGGAACCCCTGCTGAAGCCCCAGTGGTACGTGTGCTGCGACACAATGGCCCAGGCTGCAGCTGAAGCCGTGCGCCAGGGTGATCTACGCATCGTGCCAGATTTCCACCTCAAAACCTGGTTCAATTGGATGGACAATATCAGGTGAGGTACTTACATATCACCTACTGCTGTGACACTACTGGTTCATGCACCCCATTATGTGATTTGTTTGGTTTTTGGCTCAGTCAGCTGTGTGAATCCACCTGTTGTCCCTTAATATTAAAGAGCTACTCTGGCTCGTTCAGGAAGTGGTGATTAAAAAAAAAAACTGGGTTTTTAGCAGTGTGTCAATGTGACTAATGCATATCCAATGATTGGAGGGACAAAGGCATTTAGACACATTTGTCTAAACATCTTGATGTTGCAGTGCAAGTTCCCCCTCTTTCATATGTCATTGCAGTGTCCTCGTGTGCATACAAAATGGGCAAACCTTGCATTGCAATGGCCCAACACCGCTTTTGTCATGTGACATGTCCTGCAGATGTCTTTGAACGGGGATGTAAAGTATTGGAAGAAGCAAAGACCAGGGAGGAGAGAAGGGGGAAAACAGTGAAGTCACTGCAAACAGGCAATGGAGTCGGGTCTGGAGTGGGACAGTGTGGATTCCTAATTTTTAGGCAGGTGTCAGCTGTATCTTCTTCAATATTTTGCTTTCCAGCCACAGGGTTGGGGGTTTTTTGCATTTTTTTCACCCCTGATTACATGCAATAGAATCATACTGTTCGAAGGGGCTATTTAAGCCGTCAAGTGCAGCTTCCTGCTAAAAGCAGGAATTTGAATTAAAGCAGAATGAAAGAAAGAGAGGGCTGTCCAGCTGGAAACACATTAACCTCTGTAAGTCCTAGATTTGACTATCCAACCATTCTAATCATTTGGATAATCTCCTAACATTCAACAGGAATCTGTCTTCCTGGGCTTTTTTATTGTTTGTTATTGTCGTGTTGAAAGTCCTCCAGTTTTAATAGGTATACCCCGCTGAGCTTTTGGGAGTACAGCAGCATAGAAGAGTGGGTAGTATAGAAATAAAACAATAAGTTAAACCCACTGTTTCATGATCCGTACTCTGGGTCAACAGAGAATATAACTTGACCATCTTCCATCATGTGAAGTTCTTTGAAGGGTTCAGAGAGTGCTGTAGATCCTCTTGGTGAAGATAGGAGAGGACAACTGTATCATGCATCAGTATTTTTTAGTATAAGTCCAATCTTGGAGTTTTTTATACTATGAGTTGTAGCAGTGTTTCTCCACCTTGGCAAATTTAAGATGCGCGGACTTCAACTCCCAGAATTCTCCAGCCAGCTGGAGCTGGCTGGAGAATACTGGGAGTTGAAGTCCTCGCATCTTAAAGTTGCTGAGGTTGAGAATCACTCAATTATAGCTTGGCATGTCGTGTTAATACTGTCAATTGTGACTCATTTTCCAGTTAGCAAATTACATAATGTTAAATGTAATGGTATATCCACATTTTGGCTGTTGCTACAGTCATTCCAGCTTCTTCTTCACCTTTTCATCCTGCCTAGCTTCTCCACGAAAAGAATAGTTTATTTGTATGCTGGGTTTCTTTTTTCCCTTTTCACTTATATCTGTGTGCTGTACAGGGTCTTATTTTTCAAATAGCTAAAACATTTAGTAAGGTTGCAATGCAGCTTTGCTAACGCTTTCCTTTTTCTGTAGGGATTGGTGTATTTCTCGACAGCTCTGGTGGGGCCATCGTATTCCAGCATATTTTGTGACTGTTGACGACCCTTCTGTGCCAGCAGGAGAGGTACGGTTCCTGGGCCACTTGGCACAATGCTGGTAGAAAGGGCCTGACTACCTAGGAAAAGAAATTTAATAAATAGTTGGGATATTGAAGTGTAAATAGAGACATCCATGTGTTCTCTGAACTCATAGAGAGGGTAATAATGGGGGAATGGTGTTGGCCAAGATTTTTTTTTCATTCTTTTCACTTAGTCTTCCAGATGAGTCACTGAGGACTAACATAACATAGTCAACCTTTGTAAAATTAATTTAATTTCCAATATTGCAATGCAGTTAACTCAAGGATACCTAACTCTTTCCTTTCTTCCTTGAAGAAGGATGTTGAGGGTGACCAAGGACGGTGAACCATGATGGGTATTAATTTTTTAGACTCTGGGTGGCTTATAAAATCCAGAAAACAATATATGTTTAGTTTTGAGATTTTTAACATTGAACAAGGCTTTTGTTTAATGGGTTATTTACCTTCCCACTGTGAGAGGAAAATTATTAGTACCCATCAGTATGTTTTAATGTTAGTTTTGATTACATTTAATAAAAGCCAAGCTAGGTTTGATATGGCCTTTAGGGCAATAACAGGAAATAAGTAAACTTGCAAGACTAAGCAAACTGCTGATGGGAAAGAACGTGACAAGAACAAATGGAACAGGGAAGTATGGTAAAGTATGGTAA